AATGAGCTGAGACCTGCAACCAATGCCACCTTGCTTCTCTTTTCTTAAAAGGCTCCCCTCTCATCCCAGAAAACCACATTATAATTTCTGTCAAATTGCCTGGTTGCCCCTGTCCTGTCTGCTGCTTGGTCTGAGTTGCGGGACTCCCAAATTTCCCACAAATTCTGCAAAAAGTATAGGCTCGTTTCTCTCCTGATCTTTTTCTTTTTTTCCTAAATCAAACCTTGGTCACTTGCATCCATCTCAGAAACTTTTGTCTGCCAGTCCTCCCAAGCCTAAGATGCAAGGAAAATTAGCTTCCCTTTCAAAACAAGTGAAGAGAAGGGACAAAATATATTGCTAGTGCCACTACATAACTGTACACTTCAGAGTCCAGAATAGCCTGATTTTCATGTCTCTTTTACTCTGTGACTTTTACCCATGTCCAGAGATTCCTCTGATGTGGATCTAGGCCCTAAACATAAAAACTACCTTTTTCTGGGACTCCCTCACAATAGTCCAAATCATCTGCAGAACCTTAGACCCATTAAGCCAATCAGTGCAGTTTTAAGTCTGTGAAGATATCAAGCCTAGTCAAAGAGAACTTTGGCTGTGGGGTGCCTCCAAACATTAAATTCATAAATATTTTAGAGATGGAAGGCATATCAGACATTAATAGAAATGGACAATGCCCCAACCCCCTTGACTGTGGGGGTGTATGTTCTGCATTTCCCAGAATGACTGTTGGGTACATACTGGTTGGTAAATATTTTAGCAAGCTTCTGTGGGCTTCTTCTATCCCTTTGAGAAAACAGTGCTGTGACACAAGTGGCAGGGAAATTTTGGGGAAACTGAAGGAAGTGTGTGGAGGCAGAGATACATTTGGAACCTCAGGATCTGAATGGTTGCTTAAGAAAGCTGAGGTGCTCAAGAAAGGTAGTTCTGAGGATGAGATTTTCCAGGAACTCAAGATTATGGTAGGGGTGTTCCTGACTTTTTCAAATTAAAAACTGAGATATTCCCCAGAGCCCTCAGTATCAAAAACAACTTTCATGAATTGAAGACACACCCCAGCAATGACCCAAGCCAAAGTATTCTGAGACCCTGGGAACATACCAAATTCCTTTCTATCCCTTCCTGACCTATACTCACCAAAATTTAAACCAGTAACCCCAGCCCCTCAATGGACCTAGTCTGTGTCAGAGTACACACCAGCTACACCTCTGCACAGCCCATTGCACCCCTTCCCAGCTGCACAGTGAGGTCTTGACAGGAAAGTCCCAAGTAGCTCTCCCTGTGAATCCACTATGATCACCTACTTTGAAGCTTGTTCCTCAGCAGTGAACCTCTTCCTAGTAAAATAGTGGTTTTCCCAAGTTTTATTACACACTCTTAAGGCAAAGCTCTTGGCCTGCTCACAGGACATAAATGCCAGGGCCTAGCTTCAGCCCATCCACCACTATCTCCCATGAAGTTTCACCCAGATTTTGCCACTGAGTCCAAAAGCCAACAGCTCGCAGTCAACTACAGAGCAATCATGCTCAGCAGGTGCCCTCCCAGGTAACCTAGGCAACAGCCAGAGGCCCTACCCTGGCTGCCTTCCCAAGAGCCCCTGAAGTGTAACAAAGCAGGAAAAGGTAGTCCCAGGGTTGAGTGTGGCAGTAACTTCCCCCTAGAGCAGCGGTTCTCAACCTGTGGGTCGCAACCCCTTTGGGGGTAGAACGACCCTTTCACAGGGGTCGCCTAAGACCATTGGAAAACACATATATAATTACATATTGTTTTTGTGACTAATCACTATGCTTTAATTATGTTCAATTTGTAACAATGAAAATACATCCTGCATATCAGATATTTACATTATGATTCATAACAGTAGCAAAATTACAGTTATGAAGTAGCAACGAAAATAATTTTATGGTTGGGGGTCACCACAACATGAGGAACTGTATTAAAGTGTCGTGGCATTAGGAAGGTTGAGAACCACTGGCCTAGAAGTTGTTTCACACAGTCCAGGGACCCGCTACATTCAGGCATCAATGCAGCCTGGGCAGTCCTGAGACTGCCCTGGACAGCCACTGACCCACACTCAAACTTTCAAGTGGGGCCAGCACACTGGCATCAATGGGTCACAAGATCAGAGGCATCAAGAGCCTCCACACTCCTTCAAGTGCAGCCCAGTGAAGCTAAAAACAAGAAAGCAAAACGAGTCCTTGGTTGAGAGCGGTAGGAGAGGCTCTCCAAGGACCCAGGGGACTCACAGGTGAATGCACCTGAAAACAAGGTTTCTGTTTTCACTAAATAATTCCCAGGCCCCCTCAGAGAGCAGCAGAAGTATGTGTTGGGAGTGGGAGGGAACCCTTCAGCCCAGAGCAACACTGTGAGAAGCCATAGATTCTGAGCTGCAAACTTGCAGTGGGTCACAAATGCAGCAGTCTTATGGAGCCACAAGAGGGAGTGAGCCTAGAGGAGAGGGGCTCCACACCCCTCAGTTCCCTCCCAAGACTCCTCAACAGAACCGCTGAGGGGCTTTGCAGGGTGGCTTGCTGAGGAAATGGAGTTCTGACTTCTCTGAGCTCACACTCGGGCTAAATGAGAGGAGCGCGCAAGCCTTTGGTCTTCTGGCTGCCCCCCAACCCTGGTTGTCTTAGGGAAAAAGACCAAGTTGGCCTCCTGTGAAAGCTGGAGAGGTGGGAGCATTCTGGCTAAGGCTGAAAGAGGCTCCAGGAGGACAGAGGATAGCGGAGAGGTCTGGGGCACCAAAGAAGGATGGCTGAAGTTGGGGGCCCGCACAGAGTGAACCACAGGGCCCAGCCTGCCAGCCGCTTCATGCCTCTCTGGACTGGAGACCTCAGTGACTGCCTCCTGTCTGCTTTGGGGTTCAGCACACAGGGCACAGAGATCTGCTTGCTTCTTCAGAGTGGCAGAGGACAGCTGGGCCCGTCTGGGCCTTAACCAACGTGGGCAAAGAGACGCACACCCCCACTCGCACTCCCTCCCTCTCTTCTTCTCTCTGCTGCACACACACAATTACCATGTGTTTGACTCTTCACTCAGTCACCAGGATTCCTAAAGTGTCTACTCCCCTTACAGGAACAAGGACTAATTGCAGAGATCTGCGGTACAGTGTTTCTCTTAAAGTCTTCCCAGCCTCCCAACTCTCTTTTCTCTCCTTGAATTTGCCCCCCTCAAAAAAAAAAAAAAAAAACAACAACAAAAAAAAAACAAATACACACACACACACAAAAAACATTCTGCAAATATTTCCCCCCAGTGCACATGGTAAGGGTACTTAAACCCAAAAGATGCGTCAGGATTTGTCCCAGGGCAATAAAATTCATTCCTTGTCTGTGCTCAATGAATGTCCCAGGTCCCACCCAGGACATCTGGCGCCTAAGTCTCCACAGCTAATGCTACTCAGAGCCCCTCAACCCGCGCAATAGTAGCGTTACGGGCAATGGGCAAGGGAAGGAAATCAAAGTGACGAGCTGGAAAGGCTCCTTGGACCAGGAGGTAAGGGGTCTGAGAGCAGACACCTTTACCTTGAATGCCAGGTGGGGCGCTGGGGGCCACTCACCTGCTTGGAACTCCACTTGGCGATTCTTCTCTCTTTCCTCCTGCAGCAGCATGGAGTAGAGGATCCCGAAGGAGTTCTGGATGCCAAAGATAGAGCCATTGCACCAGGTGGCAGCGAAGACCACCATCCAGCCAAAACCACCTTCGGGGGGCTGGAAGCCGCGCGCTGTACCGCGGGTCTCCACGGTGGGCATAGGCTCCGATTCGTGCACTGGCTCAGGCTCAAGCTCCAGCTCTGGCAGGGCTGCAGGATTTGTTTGGGGCTGGGGCTCTGGCTTGGGCTCCATTGGGACCACTGGCAAGGGCTCCGGCTCTGGCTGAGGGTTACCCACTGGCTCCTGCTGTTCCTGGCCTGCCTCCCGCCAGGGCCCCTTGGCTTCCTCGCTTTCTGAGCTTTTCAGCGCCATCACAGACAGGGGACTGTGGCTGCTCGAGCCGGAGGAGACGCTTTGTGGCTGGTGGTAGTTTCTGCTGCTGCTGTTAGTGCTCGAAATGCCGCTGCCACCACTGCCTCCTCTTCCCGGTTCCTCGCCCAAGCTGGCCAGCCTGTCCCGCGACAGACGCTCCCTCCAGCCCTCTCCTCCTCCCCCTTCGAAACCCCCTCCTCCTTTCTCGTGTCATCTCTCTCCTCCCCCTCCTCCTCCCCCACCCCCACCTCTTCCTCCCTCAACCGGCAGCCGCTATGGATTTCTCTTCTTCCCTGCCCTTCCTCCTCTTCGTCATACTTGCCTACCTACTCTAGCCGCTGCTGCGTCTCTCAACTCCCTTTACAAACTATTAAATCTTGTCCTCCTTGTCCAGATGCCCAGTAAAGGGAGAGTTAAAATGGGAAAAAACTAGAGCACAAACTACCCTGTTCCCCTGCCCTCTCCTCCTCGCAAGCTCGAAACGGGTATTGATCAACTCACTCCCCAGGAAATACCCCGCCTGTCCTATGCTCCCACTTTCTCCTTCCAAACAAGCAGCCTGGAACTGGGGTGGCCCTGGGAACGTCAGGATCGAGGAGATTTAGCTTGTGAGAGAACCCCACCCTGCCCTGGGGAGTTCCTATATACTTCCCACACCTTGGGCTTGAGGGGGGACACCTGGAGGGGACGCAACCTGAAGGGGAAAGCCCGGGCTTCGGACAGAGAGGGGGCACAATGTTCTTGAGTCCAGGGGCTCAGACCCCCACAACCCTGCGTACTCCCTCTCCAGTCTCTTCCTCTCCGCCCCCGCCCTTCCCGGTAAATCCCTGGCTGGGCGCTAAGGGGAGGAGGCAGCCCAGCAGTGAAGCCCGCCCCTCTCGGCCGTCAATCAGGGCTTTGTTTGCGCCAACCTGGAGCCCAGAAAAGCCGTAGAGGGCGGGGCCAGGGGCCGGGCCAGGGAGGGAGGGAGGGAGGGAGGTGCAGTGGCCCCGGAGGAGGCCGGATCGGGCTGGGCTCCGCTCCTTCCGGCTGTCTGTTCTGTTTTGGGGAACTAGGATTAGGCGCCAGGTTGAGCCTCCAGTTTGGGCCAGGGCCGCCCAGCCCCCAACATTCCTAGTGGGCTGGTCCCCCAGGCCTCGACCATAGCTTTTTGGGCAATCAGGAATTGGAGCCACTAGCGGAGGGATGTCTTCCCAGCACCCACCGCCCCCTTCTGCCCACCTCTGGTATAAGATTTGTGACTTCCTCTGAATGCCTCAGACTAAGGCTCCAACCCTGAGAAGGTAAAAGAAAGTTTGCTCCCCAGAGAGCGCTGGGGTCCTGGGTGTGTTTGTGAGGAAGTGGGGGGCTGGGGGGTGTGATCTGCCCTGCTGGCGGCCCAGCCGAGTCTCAGCCCGCCAGGCCGGCAGAGCAATCCCCGGAAGTTCTGCTTCCCCCAAGTGCCGGCGCATCTAATGCACTAATCATGAGGTCACTGTGTGGTTACCAAGCTACTCTGATTCTCACAAGCGGGCGGGCGAGCGTCAAGCCTTTTCTATCCAACATCTCATTAACCTTCTTGATCTGTGAAAAGTCTGCATGGCCGGTGAAAATGTAGATCAGGGCTGCGCCAGCTGCCCGAGAACAAGGAGTCATTAAGCCCCTGAGGGAGGGTTGAGCTGGGTGGAAGGATAAAGGTGCCAAGGGACTTAGGGTCTGATGAGAGGAATTGGCCAAATTCACAAATCACAGGGGCCATGCTAGTCAGCATAGCAGACATTGCTCCAAAGAAGATGTTAGGTTAGGTGGCTCAGGAGGCGGCGCAAGAAATAGAGTCCAGTGAATGAGAAAAGAAAGGAAAGGAAAGTTTATTCTGCGTCCCCGGGAGACCCACGTACCCCCAAAGACAGGGCACGTGGATTCACGCCAACATGGAGGGGGGCGCTTTTTTTATACTGCAGTTGGGTGAGGGGCGGGGGCCTGAACTGAGGAAGTGTCTGCAGCAGGGATCATCACACATTCAACTGAGGGAGTCTCAGCCGCAGGGGGTGGGCGGGACATTCAGGAATGGGTCAGTATCTGTGTGGGGATCGCTGTGAATTCAGGGAGAAGAAGCAGGTATCTGTGTCTGGCACGTTGACCTGTGAGAAATCCCAGATCTGTGAGAAATTCCAGGGGGAGTCCATTGTCTCATCACATGCCTGCATGTATCCGATCCTGGGCTCTCTCCGACCTAACAGAAGAGATCATATCCCTTATTACCCCAAGGTAAGTATTATTATCACCTGTTTTTCCCAAGCAGTAAACCTGAGGCTCAACTAGGTCAAGGCGTTTATTAGCCTAACTTAGGCCTTGACTTTAGCCTAAAGTCAAGAGACAAATCAAGTACAAGCTGGAATTCAAGCCAGGTCTCCATACAGCCAAGCTCTCACAGTCCCTGAGCTTCACCACAGGAGTTCTAGGACTTGGTGCTCCCAAGGAGAGTGACAGGGAAGTTGAAGGCTTCTGGTTAGCTATCACAGTAGACTTCTTGAGGAGGTGATGGCTTAGATGGGCTTTGAATGTTGAGAAGGATTTTAATGGGGTGGGGGTTAGGGTATCCCTGCCTAATAGGGACAAAGCACAGAGGCATAGAAGGACTCTACTCATAGAAAGAGGTAAGTGAAAGCTAATCAGGCCAAAAAGTTAATATGAAGGGTGGGGTAAAAGTAGGTTTACAGTTGTGAGTATGCAAAACAGGGTTTATTTTTGTATTAGTATTTATTATTGTATTCTTTCCATACAAACAACTGTAAACCTACTCTTGCCCCACTCTGTATATGCTGCCTTTCCCAGGAAACATTTGCATTTTAATAAAAATCCACAGTGCTTCAGCCATGAGGAATAACAAATCATACTTATGGGCATTGGGACTTAATATTTGCTTTTAGTCAGAGATCTCACCATACACATCACTAATTGTTATCCCATGAGAGCTCTAGCCTTGGTTTCCATTTGCAAGGAACCTGATTAAGACCCTGAAAAAAGGTTATCTGCAAACCCAAACTAGGAATAGACCCTGGAGTCTTGCAGTCCATCCCAGACCCACTGTCTAAATTCTATTTTCCTCATTGTCTCTAAATGGATTTTTTAGATCACTGGAGTGGGGGAGAGAGTTGGTGATGACACTCATTGATGCTTCTGTGAACTTAAAGTATGTGAGCACTTTACATACATGATCTCATATAGTATTCATAACAATCCTTTAAGGTTGGAATGATTTCTCTCTGTCTTATAAGTAAGTAAACAGGCTCTAAGATGTTGTCAGTTGTTCAAGTCTACAAAGTTATTAAGATGTAAAACAGAGATCTTTGCTCATTTGTATGAGCTTCAAAGTATGTGCTTCATCCAGGAAACAGGATTGCATAACCACCATCCCACCTTGTTAACAATACATACAGTATCTACCCTTTCTCTCCTCTTTAGAAGGTACTTTATAATGGCTAGAGCACTGGCATGAGGAGACCTGGATTCTAATCTTGGGTCTACCATTGCTTACCTGTGTGATCCTAAGCAAGTTGTTTTCCCTCTCTAAGCTTCAGTTGTTGTTTTTTTTGTGTGTTTTTTAATTTGCAAAGTGGAGTTAATACCAACTTCAAAGAGTTATTAAACACTGTGCTGGAAAGTGTAGGGTTTATTTTGGATGTACAAGAAGCTACTGAAGATATTTGACTAGGAAACTAACATATCTGTATTTTAGAAAACTGTGGCAACATTGTAGAAAGATAAGAGATAAGGAAACTAAGTAATGAACAGTAAAAAATTGTTGGTCTAAAATAAGGCACTCACTGTTGGGATGAAGACAAAGGTATAGTTCTGTGATCCTCTGTTGCAGTAGAGTTGCCAGAACAGATTTGGGTAGTGAGGGAAAAAGAAGAAGCAAAGGTGATGCTGACATTTCTTGCTTGAGTGAAGGAAAGGATGGTAATAGTGTTAATTGAGATGGCGAATTAGGAGCCGAATCAAGTTAGAGGTGCCTGTGGTTTCCTGTCTCTTATTTTCCTTTAAAATTTTTTTCTATTACATTTGACATTCAATATCCTATATAATAAAAAGCTAATATGCAAATTGACCAAATGGCAGAACTACTGGTCGCTATGATGTGCACTGACCACCAGGGGGCAGACGCTCAACACAGGAGCTGCCCCCTGGTGGTCAGTGCCCTCCCATAGGGGGAGCTCCACTCAGCCAGAAGCCTAGCTCACAGCTGGTGAGTGCAGCCGTGATAAAGGGAGTCTCTCCTGCCTCCACGGCAGCACTAAGGATGTCCAACTCCCCCAGGGAGCGGGCCTAAGATGTCAGTTGGATATCACCCGAGGGCTCCCAGACTGTGAGAGGGCACAGACTGGGCTGAGGGACCCCCAGTCCAGAGCACAAATTTCATGCACCAGGCCTCTAGTTATTTTATACTAGTTTAAGGTTTACAGCATTGTGGTTAGACCAGGGGTGGGCAAACTTTTTGACTTGAGGGCCACAATGGGTTCTTAAACTGGACTGGAGGGCCGGAACAAAAGCATGGATGGAGTGTTTGTGTGAACTAATATAAATTCAAAGTAAACATCATTACATAAAAGGGTACAGTCTTTTTTTTTTTTTTTTTAGTTTTATTCATTTCAAACGGGCCGGATCCGGCCCGCGGGCCGTAGTTTGCCCACGGCTGGGTTAGACATTTATATACTTTATGACTGATCCCCCCCAATAAGTTGTCATGCACAATTATTACAATATTATTGACTATATCCCCTATGCTGAACATTACATCCCTGTGACTATTTTGTAACTACCAATTTGTAATTCTTAATTCCTTCACCTTTTTCACTCAGCCCCACAACCCCCCTCCCATCTGGCAAGCATCAATTTGTTCTCTGTTTCTATGAGTTTGCTTCTGTTTTGTTTGTTCATTTATTTTGTTCTTTACATTCCACATATAAGTGAAACTATATGGTATTTGTTTTTCTCTGTATGACTTATTTTACTTAACAAAGTACCCTCTAGATCAGCCGTGGGCAAACTACGGCCTGCGGGCCCGATCCGGCCCGCTTGAAATGAATAAAACTAAAAAAAAAAAAGACCGTACCCTTTTATGTAAAGATGTTTACTTTGAATTTATATTAGTTCACACAAACACTCCATCCATGCTTTTGTTCCGGCCCTCCGGTCCAGTTTAAGAACCCATTGTGGCCCTCAGTCAAAAAGTTTGCCCACTCCTGCTCTAGATCCATCAATGTTGTTGCAAATAGTAAGATTTCTTTCTTCTTATTGCCCAGTAGTATTCCATGTATGTGTACTACATCTTTATCCAATCATATATTGATGGGCACTTAGATTGCTTCCATATCCTGGCTGTTGTAAATAATGCTACAATGAACATAGGGATGCATGTATTTTTTCAAATTAGTGTTTTGGATTTCTTTGAATAAACACCCAGAAATGGAATTGCTGGGTCATAAAGCAGTTCCATTTTTAATCACCTCCTCCAGCAACAGTGCACCAGGGTTACTTCACTATGCCAGCATCATTTGTGGATTTATTGATGATAACCGTTCTGACAGTTATGAGATGATAATTCATTGTGGTTTTAATTTGCATATTTACAATGATTAGTGATGTTGAGCATCTTTTCATATGTCTATTGGCCATCTGTATGTCTTCTTTGGAGAATGTCTATTCAGGTCCTTTGCCCATTTTTTAATTGGATTGTTTATGGGGTTCTTTTTGGTATTAAGTTGTATGAGTTCTTTATGAATTTGGGATTTTTAAAATATATATTTTTTATTGATTTCAGAGAAGATGAGAGAGAGACAGATTGAAACATCGATGATGAGAGAATATCATTGACCGCTGCCTCCTGTACGCCCCCTACTGGTGATTGAGCCCACAACCCAGGCATATGCCCTGACCAGGAATCTAGCGGTGACCTCCTGGTCCATAGCTCGATACTCAACCACTGAGCAATGCCAGCTGGCTGGGCTAAATTTTGAATATTGAACCCCTTATTGGATGTATCATTGGTGAATATCTTCTATTCAGTAGGCTATCTTTTCATTTTGACGATGGTTTTCTTTGCTGTCTAAAAGCTTTTTATTTTTATGTAGTCTCATTTATTTATTTACTTTCATTTGTTTCCCTTGCCTGAAGATATATATTTAAAAATATTACTAATAGCAATGCCAGATAGTTTACTGCCTATGTTTTCTTCTCAGTGATAAAAGTAGGGCTAGGGCAGTGATGGCGAACCTTTTGAACTCGGTGTGTCAGCATTTTG